ACTGAAATCATGCCAGAGGTAGAACAGATGTGTGATCACTTCAGTGATTTTTTTTTTTCTGGAACTTTCCTCTAATTCAAAGCCTTCGTTGAGTGCTATTGTGTTGTGTTGATGAAAAGTAACTTTCAGGCAGATATCCAACTTATTTTTATGCTATCCAAAATGCTTTACACAAAGCCCGGACAGAGGACTGAGTGAACTCGTGTGTTTTCGCTTTCCACCAGTACAATTTGCGCTTATTCAACAGTAATTGACAAAACCTGTAGAAAATATCTCTCAGTAAATATTTTAACTATAGTCAAAGTGTTTTAAATTACAAAGTTGTAATTTTTAAACGACATTGTGAAAGACTTTCTCTAGAAATACTTAACATTATAAAAGCATAAACGGTTATTTATTACTATTATTTTTAATTGAAATGACCCAACATAAACTTTTATTATGAACTTAATATGAAAAGAAGGATTTGGTTCCAAGTAGTCAAATAGTGAATTCAATTAAATACCCAAACCCTTTACATTTAGGCTCATTCTGCCTTGAAAATCTTTATTCCAGTTTACACTGATCAGAGATGTGTTACTGTGAAAACTGCCGGTGTTTATTTCTTCCTTTTGAAACTTTTTCTTTCGGTTTTTTAATGTTCTCTCAAACAGATCATCGAAAACAATTTACAAAATGTCTGCATCTTCATGCGGCGACACCATGTCGTTAGTGTCAACGCGTAGCCTACTTCATAAGAACATAATGCATTGATAAATAAAACGGGGGTATGTCTTTTACGCCAGTGCAATGCGTTGTATCATTTGAAAGTGGGACACAGGCTGCATTCGTATTCTGTAAAGGCATTTTTATATAGTTTTATTTGTGGTATTCATGGCTTCTGAAGCTTGGCTCGGTAACATTTTCTATAGGCTATGTCGGCCTCCATGCTTTCTGCTCAGAGCAAAAGGCCATGACGGCAGATTGTAGACACAGAATCTTATTCTGTTGACAATAACTGTAATTATCAACAACACGCTAAATAGGAGGGCTGCGTTAATAATGAACTAGGCCTATATTGTGCTGAATTCAAACTTGAAGAACATGTGGTCAAGAGAATAAACAAAGTTTGATATTCAAATGATGACTTCATTGAAAAGTGCTACATTCAAAATAGTACACACGCAAATGCTACAATTAGCCTACACAAATAATATTTAAAATAAGAATAAAAAGATGTTTTCCGTCCTCCAACATAGTCTGAATTCAGTTAAAACACGCTGTTTCTGCGATCACAAATACAACACATTTGAGACTGAGGACCGGCTGAACATTCTATCAGAATCCTGCGTGCCAATAAATGATTTCACACGCAGCTTACAGGCTCGAGCCTTAGCAGGCTGTTAACGCAACATTTAAGACTTCTGCAGGAGAAATAGAAACAGACTGGCACACAGACATCAGCACACATTCAGAGCACCGTGGGAGTGAAAGTTTACAGTTAAACCGTGCACCTTAAGGTGGCATTCAGTGTGTGAGCTAGAATTTTTTTTTTTTCCTCTTTATTTTTACGCAATCCCTGTTAATCCCACCACAGGCCACCGTCCAGAAAATATGCAAAAGTCAAGTGTGTGACCGCCCTGTGGTTCACTGCTCTCACCAAAGAAATACATTACTTTTATGTTCTGACACTTTTTTTTGACAGCAGCCAGTTTTAAACACGTGTCATCGACAAAACTGAAATTTGACTGTGTGTATTTTATCTCAGTAGCTCGTTTTATAACATCATTTATGCTATTAACGATAGAAATTTATAGCTGATCATAACTTTATATAGACCTGTTCCTCCTCCAGGCGCTGGATACGGGGAATGAAACGCGCACGCGCTGCATAATTTGGATTGCACACAAACAGGGTTGAACCTTAATAATGACCTCAGAGAAAAGCCTCCAGGTTGTGCTGCCAGGTCCTTAAGGAAATTCCAGGGATCCTCAGATGGATCATGGGGAAGTACTACCCAAAATCTGAAACACTTAAATTTGACATTCATTCATGTCTATCACTCAGAGCATGTTTAAATTACTTTTCACCATCAACTCAACACTTTCTGCAGGAAAATCAAATCAGTTAATTGACAAATCAAATATGAATACTCGTTTCCAAAGAGACTATTACAAAATGTTTAACTCCAGGATTCACTGCGTGTGCTTGTATTTGGCGGGACAATGAGTGCGCCGCCCCTGTATTGTGTTCATTGTTCCTTGGGATGTCTCATGTCTGGACTGACCACATGTGTGCGCGCGGCGACAGCCACCTTGGCGAGGACGCAGAGTTGCTGTGACTGTAGCAGGAAACTAAAAAAAAAAAAAGGATCCAAAATCTTATCTGATTGAAAACACCTCGCGGCAACATGTAAAAGAGGCTCAAACGGTCTGAGATGGAAGCTCTGATACTGATCAATGTTCACCTAACATGACACTAGAAGACATGTGGAACAATAAATAATAAACGCGTTGGGGTTTATTTTTGATTTATTTGCCTAGATTGTAGAAAAACGCCACAGGGCAGAGAGCAACAGGCCGGGCCTTGTGCAGTTACTCAGTGACTAACAGTAGCTCCATGTTTCTGAATGATTTCATTATCAAAGATTTATTGTTTAATAATGTAAGGACTCATCCAGGCTGGTGGTAAGCGTTTGAGACACATTATGGGATTTCTGCTCGTGAACTAGTAAGGGCAATTCAAATATCTCAACTGTTTATTAAGAATATTACGCACAAATGGTCATTAGAATGATTTACGATTTCTCCCAAATAAACAACTTAGGCTACTAGATTTAGACCATGACTTTATTTATCCCAGAGGCCAATTCTGTTTTGTAATTTCGCATTATAACAATTCAACAAATGTCACTCTGCTTTAATTAATGTTAAATTTTGATTTGACAGTTGAGTTAAATGAACTCTTAATTAGAAACGGTACTTTAAAAAAAATATATAGAATCTTCAATCAACAACACTACAGAAAAATATCACCCTGTGTCACATTTGAGTTGAAATAAATGCATTACCTCACGATATACAGGTCTAGCAGTTGAATCAATAATAGTTGTTGTGATCAAATGTATTCATATTTAGCACTGAAGATGCGCTCTCTCCGACAACACAAAGTAGACTACATCTCATCGTTTTCGTTGCTATCACGGCCTTAAACCTTCAACCCATATTTGTGTCTGGTCGACACTTGTTTTGTCCAGATGGGTTTCTTTTTAGATCTGTAAATAGCCTGTTAATCTTCATATTTAGGCTATTTATTTTGTGCTTTCCAAATAATGTGAATTTTGACATGATGTGAATATAGACTCTTTTTTTAATTTTAATTTTTATTTTTTACATGTAGGTGAATCAACATGAATTGTGAATAACTTGTATGGCAAGCTTTCGCGATGTTAAAGGATGCATTTGAAAACAGTGAAGCTAATTATATTTTACGTAAACGTTTCACGTCTATTGGTGGAAACCCAACCGTCTGCATGCGTCAGTATTTTACGCACTTCAGTGGCAGATTCTGCTGGTTTGAATGTTATCCCTTTGTTGAAGACAACACACAAGTACAATTCCCCTCAGTCAGACATCAACTTCTGTTGGACTTTGAAACAAATCAGGTGACAAGTCCAGTGAAAGGTCCACCAAGTCCATTTCCTCCAACAAGGAATAGAAAGAGAGCCTTAGGTCGTAAACACAAGCCACCAGACCAGACCAGACACACACGCACACACATTAAACACACACGACACGTCTATCCCTTTCCCTCTTTTCGGGGATCAACATTTTCACACGTATCTGTCAAAAACACTCCCAATAGATCTGGAAAAAAAAAAAAAACCATTTCCTTTTAATTTTTCCAAAGCCAGGCCTCAAAAGCACCACCCAGGAGTAGCGGGTACAGACCTGTCTGTGCGAATAAGCGGCGGAGAAACCCAAATGATAGTAAAAGTTAATGTCCTCCAATAGCTTTCATTGGGACAGGAATTCTCACCCCTCTTCCGCTCCTTTCAGGCGCTCAGACGGTTCCTTCAAAGCGTGAATAGCCCGACAAGCTGGACGGCTAGACAACAACTTTCAACTTGACCTTGGCCTCCAGCGGCGTCAACCTCCTATATGCAAAAACATGCACGCACTGCAAGGTTGAGAGCAATCGTTGGCTATATTGTAATCCTGTCGGAAGTCTCATGTCTGGAATAGTCACTTATAAGCCTGATATAACAACCCATGTTCTTGATTTCTACCTGGGATTACATTTGGAGCTTTCTGATGTGGACTTTCTCTGACTGTATTTGTTCAAATCTTTGCAGGCACAACACAACATGATATATATCGACTCTAATGCTGTCTATTAATGTCTTTATCCAATAGTGAACGCGAGTATCCAGACTATTCATTATACAGACATACTATTGTGCATCAGCGTGCGGCAGATTCAGTTTACTTCATGCAGGCTATATAATGTGCAACATTAGTATACACTATACGAAAACATTGTATTTGTATTCGTGTGTATTTGCTTTTGGTGAAGGCTGTTTAATTTACTTCTCATACCAACGCAGACATGTGATGAGTGCGTGCGCAAATGCCCATAAATAAGCACATGATCCTTATGTAGATGCTTGAGTCTGTTTTCAAATTAATCCATCATTCTTTTACAATAATCGACTCTTCTTTGAACTCAAACCAGGACAAGAAGCATTTTAAAGAAGCCATTTTAAATTCAAGTAATAAGGATCATATAACATTATAAGTAAAAAAGCAGACAACTCATTTGTGTGTCTTACTTAAAAAAAAAGGCATACAATCCATTTCAGTCGACGCAGACACGACAAAAGCGAAATTCCTGGAAAGGTACGGTCACCTTACTTCGCCGCATTTTTCTCCATTTAATTATCTGTACTGGGTGATGTTTACCGTCCTCTTTGCATAGCCTGGTCACGTGACAAACGCCTGGCCAATGACGGCACAACATCTGCGCTCTTGTACGCGTCAGAGTGGCATTACTCTCTGGGAACCAGTATCTCCTTTTTTCAGTCTCTGAGCTTTTTTAAAAAGAGCCAGAAGCTCTAATGTTGGATGCCGTGCTATGACAACATCACTGCTCCTCCGTCCGCGCTGGGTCGACCCGTCGGTTATGTTCCTCTACGACAACGGCGTCGGTTCCGATGAAGTAAGCAAGAACATGGACGGTTTTCCTGGTGGCAACTTTGCTGCGAACCAGTGTAGGAATCTGATGGCGCACCCCGCGTCCCTGGCACCCAGCACGGCTTACTCGTCCAGCGACGTGCCCACCTCCGGAATGGGCGAGCCAGTGAAGCAGTGCAGCCCCTGCTCTGCAGCTCAGAATTCATCCAGCGCGTCCCTGCCTTATGGGTACTTTGGTAGCGGCTATTACCCGTGCAGAATGTCGCATCACAGCAGCATAAAGTCGTGCGGAACGCAGCCTCCCTCTGTATATGGAGAAAAATATATGGACACCTCTGCCTCAGGCGACGACTTCACCTCTCGGGCAAAGGAATTCGCTTTTTATCCAACCTACCCTTCAGGCCCATACCAACCTGTTCCTAGCTACCTGGACGTTCCTGTGGTGCCAACAATCAGTGCGCCCTCAGAAGCCAGACACGAGTCCCTGTTGCCCATGGAGAGCTACCAGCCGTGGACTCTTGCCGCCAACGGCTGGAACGGGCAGGTTTACTGCGCCAAGGAGCAGCCGCAGCCCGGACACATGTGGAAGTCCTCCATACCAGGTAGGCTGCTTTCCTCAGAGTCCAGCCTTTAGACACATAGCAGTCTGACCATGCTAGTGTGTTTACAAACGCAACCAGTATGCATTTTGTACAGAATGGAAGGGCATTAAATGTCAGTCAACCAGCAGAAAACACACCTGTGTGTTACTTTAACAAATAACTGGAATTATGTGCGACAGGAAAAAATGTTAAACATGCATGGACGATGAATCAAAAGCCCGATTCGCATACGTAATTTATGTAGCATTTTTTTTTGGCACAGAAACAATTTTGTCATATTTATTTAATCATTGGGTACTATAACAAAGTCAGTCCCATATATTTCTTACTTTTAACACAGTAAAGCAGAACATATTTAATTTAATTGAGAAGCTAGTTAAAAACGTGCGACTCATGTTTTTATTTTGAGAAATAGAAAATCACTAAGAATCTGAGGTTCATTCACTTGTTGAGAGGTGGCTACACAACAGCTTCTTTTGTCTCTTGTCTCTCAGACGCGGTGTCCCACTCCGGGGGAGACACAGGCTCTTATCGACGTGGAAGAAAGAAGCGCGTGCCATACACCAAGGTGCAACTGAAGGAACTCGAGCGCGAGTACGCTGCCAATAAATTTATCACGAAAGACAAACGGAGGAGGATATCGGCCCAGACCAACCTGTCCGAGCGGCAGGTCACGATATGGTTTCAAAACAGACGCGTAAAGGAGAAGAAAGTTGTGCACAAATTGAAAACCATCAGCTAGTTTTTTTTTTTTATTATTATTTTTACACGGACAATTATCTGTGGGAGATAAACTGACACACACACACACACACACACACACACACACACACACACACCCACACCCACACACACACACACACACACACACACACACACACACACACACACACACACGCGGACTCATGGATTGGAACAACACTCCTTCCTGACTGAACATGATTTATTTTTCCGTTGCCAAATGATTTCCCGGACCTTCTGGAACAAAATCTAAGGCCTGTTAAGAAAGGCGGACCCTTCCACTTGTTGTATATTGTTTCAGGAGTCAAGTGGTGGGGAATAAGGGACAACATATATATGTATATATATATATATATGTATATGTATATGTATATGTATATGTATATGTATGTATATATATATGTATATATATGCAGTATGTGTGCTCACTCTTAACACAAGAAAAAATGACCCCGGCTCAGAACGTTTTGCGCCTCCGAGCTACGCCTTTATCTGGAACTTTTAACGAGAGCAATAACGTGAAGATTCACAGGAAGTGGCGGATTTGGACCTTGGAAATGTTAAATATTAATCTCTCCTGGCTTCTTATTTTAAAACCTGCTCACATGCTTAGCTTGTATGAAGTTTTAGTCTTATCATATGAACCCTTGCTCTCATTCATATTCACTCAATCCATGTTGCAATCCCTCTTGTGATAATGCTTAGATAATCGTTGGGGGATATGTGTTCATAGCGATCATAGCTTTTATAATGTGTGCGTATTCATGTGGTTGTATATAAAGTAAATTCCGGCATGGTATCAAGATATTTGTGTGAATCCAATATGTCGTTGTTAAAGTCCGCCCAATTAAAATATGGACTTGGTCGAATTTCATTTACGTGTTCTTCATAGTGGATCTGAGATATTATGATGGCTCAGCTTTCAGTTTGTAGCATATATTGACATTTTAGGGGTAAATTTAATATATTGTGCTCTTTCGTTACTGCTTTACGTCGGCTCCTACCCATAAGGCCTCCCTACTCTCGCTGCATGTGGAGTGAAAGCAGAAATGTTCTATAATCAAGGTTTTTTTGAATGGGTTTTGCTGTAGCCTATTTTTTGTTTTATATTCATACAGTTTGTATAAAAATATATAAGAGTGCAATGTGTGTAGCAGAGCTCTGTTTGACTCTGGGAAAAGAAGAAATAAGTCAGTGTGACCTGTCGGTTCTAAAATGTAGGCTGACATTGCCATCTAGCGGTGACTTTGTGACATAAACCAGATTACATCAGTGGTTAAATGCCCCATTGAAAGCTTGACTGCCTTCTAAATAACAATAATACTTTAGATATATTAATATTGATAGGAAATAAAAAACATATAATTATAGTTAAATTCTACAACATTTGGAAGGCCTATGTTTCCATTTTCTCTGTCTTTGAGTAAAACGACTGCCGCAAAAAATACTCAGGTGTTGTTGCTTATTAATTATTATTGTTATTTTTTATGCAAACCAATGTAGAATATCACCGCTGACTCACTCCTGTAGAATATGTGTGCAGCGAAATCAACCGCATAGCCTAAATATCACGTTCATTTAATGATAGAGGTCATGAAGGTAATCTCGTTTATTTTTGCCCTCAAGCGAGTTTCGTTGTGATTTGTTTTGCCAATATAAAAGAGATAATATTATTTTTATTTTTTTCAGCTATTGGGTAGGCTACTTTGAAAAGCAACAAGTTTTAAACAGGACTAGATTGCTATGCCGTCTTTTGCTGCATTTTCTCACGGTAGGCAATTTTCAACGGTGAACATTGTTCAACGTGGAAAAAATCAATTCTGATAAAATAATTGACAAAAGGGTTTGTTGAGTTTCAATCCCTTAATGCTGAATGAGCTTTATTTAAAGGTAAAGAGGTAACTGGATTCAAATGGCAGGAAGTCAGGAATTAGATCTGGTTATATAGAAAATATTGAAAAGCATTCAGCGGTGTTATCTGTTAGTCTCCATCAGGTTTTTTAAAATACAACTGGACTAATAGACTACAGCCTACAGACATATTACATGTTTCATAAACTCAGCCAAGCGAAGCATTTTTAATTTGACATGTCTGTCTTTAAGGGGTTTTTGGACTAATTAAAAATAAGAAGCAAAACAGAAAGTTATCCTGGGACTTAAAATTCAAATTAAATTAAAATGTCAACGTTCATCTACATTAATGTCTATTTTCTTATCACTTTTTGAAAAATAAATACTGTATAAAATAGGGGTTAAATATAAATGAGGTGTTGTAACTTGTAACCTGATCACATTGTTGGCCGTTTTGTCGCGTTGCAAAGACAAATCTGTAATTGAAGAAACCACACACGTCTCCCTTGTGTCTGTTGCCACTGGTATCACTTTATTTGTCATTGTCGATAATTATGATAGTTTTAAACTGTGAATGTGAACACGTTATGAAATATTTACTTTCGTAGTGACCAAGTGCAATATTCACGCGCAGCTGTAGCCAGAAACCCAAGATCCGCACGCTTGACTGCATTCGGTGAAATGAGTCAGTCTCACTGGCACTCAAATTTCAGACATGAAACCAAATCCCTCCTCGTTTGGAGCTGGTAACTCCTTTGGGTGCCAATCCCACCTGTTAGACGGATTTACACCGTGTTATAATTGTTTATTTTTTTACCCATTTTTTTTGTCGTATATACGCATTTTTATCATACCAGTAAGGGCAGACATAGCCTACCCATACTACAACTATTCCATATGTAACATCATATTCCCAATCATTTGAAAGCTAATCTTACTTACTCCGGTGATCGCATGCGTAAAAGAAGCATTCATATTAAAAGTCGATAACTTTTTTTATTCATTCATTTGCATTGCATGAATTAAAAAGCCCAAATGTTCATGTCTTTATTTCACTGAAAGATCAAAACTCTCTACATTCTCTTGACTCAAATAGTAATGGCCTAAATAGTAGTTATAGTAATAAATCTAATAATAGTGATTAAACCTTGGGGCTAAACCATTAAGCTTTATTAGCCTATAGCCTATAAACAGAGACTTTTTTTTGGCTCTTTGGTTGTTATTATTTACAATAGACTAAATAGAATAAACAAAGTGACATAGGCCTGTTGTGGTTGTCAGGCCATAGCTAGTCTATTCTCGGAATGTTCTTGTTTAAATAATTATAATCTCTAAACCTGTGGGCGTGTTTTAATTTTACATGATAATATAAGAGTTCTATAAGCCTGCCTAAAGCACAGCTTTTCCCCCACACTTTAAAAATCTGAAAATAATAAGTAACCTATCCTACTATAACTCAGCCTCAACTAGAGTATTTAAAAAATCTGAGTAGTCTGCTATCGTGTGTTTATGATGTGCGCATGACCAACTGAATGACAGAAAGTAACCTCACTGAAATGTGAGACAATAAACTGCGTCCGCGAGCACGGCATCCAGCGTGGCCCTACTTCCACCCCCCTCTGACGTAGCACGGCGGAGCGCGCACGTGTTATAAACTCAGAGATGGGAGAAAAAGTGTGATGTCTGACTGCACAATATATTCTGGAGTCCAAAAGCACAGACTCGTGTAAGTAGCGGAAGTTAACTGCAGAGACTTGTTAGCGCGATTCCTCATTGGCTGTAAGGGAGCACAGTGGCGTCCCATTGGCTCACCGAACCAAAACAAGACTATAAATCCCGCCCCATTTGCCATGAATATGTTAGTCTAAAGCTCCCAGCAGAAAGCTCCGCCTATCCCTCTTACTGCACGAGCCATCTTTGACGGGACAGGAAACACAGCAGACTGCACAGAATGACTGTAAAAATTGAGTTTTGCTGCCACACTAAGGCGAAATTGTGAATTACAATTAATTTCAGTTCACAAAAAAAAGAATTCAATTAACATCGAATATAATATAATCCTATTTCTGTTACAACATGTAAAGTTAGTTTACTGGATTTTATAATCAAAACAGACAACTCATAGAGAAGCTATAGGGGTAGACTAATAAATAAGCCAAATGTGAATATGAGATTTCCATCAGCATATAATCAATTTTAAAGTCTGTATTTACTATCAAATTAAACCAACACTGGCCCTGCTTATGCTGTGTTTATAGAAAATAAATAGTCATTGTATCTTTAAGCGTGATATTTAAATGACTATTTGCCTCCTCCGACACGTATGATTTTAATGTAGCCTATAGCCTGAGAAAAGAAAATTAAAACTGCTAATGGTCTATCTGAAATACACTGATGCCATGTAAGGTGTTGGGATCAATGCATTTGTTTAATAGTCCACAAATCCACCAGGCAGCCTGTGTGTGTCTCCTCCGCCTGTCAGACCCCGTTGAGCACAGACAGGCCCACATTGCTCTTTACATTGACCTTCGCTGTCTCCGTGCGTAATGGAGGCGAGGCCTGCAACCTTCAGACAGACTCAAAACAATGTAGCTCTCCTCCGGTCAAGCTTCAATGCATTTGAGTTTGAAGGTAATCTCGTAATACAGAAAAAAGACCGGAGCAGACATACATTAATCCAGCACCGTGTCAGCGGTCAAATAGAAGCACTTGACAGAGATTATGTGAAAGCCTCCTCCATGTCCCAGTCGGCGCCTCATTCCCCCACAGGCACGCAGGCTTCCCCTGTCCTCATCTCATCTCATTTGATTTGAAATATAAATTCCAAATAATTTACGCAGTTCATTCATAGAGGCTGTGGCCTATCGAATAAATATGTTTTGTACACAGCAAGGAGAGCGTATGGTTTATAACGGACGCACAGTCTGTTTCCTTGGTGTGGCTTTTGCTTTGTTTATTAAATTATTTATTTCAAAATAAAGAAATAAATCACTTCAGAGGGAGTAATTTACGCGCTGCAGCACGATGGAAGACACATATTCCCTCTGAAAGAAATGCGCTTACAAAAAGCGACAAGGAACAAAATAAGAAAAAATGTTTGTTTTTTTAAAAAGGTTCGAAAACCACTGCACATGTTCAATTGTTGACTTTCTTTATGGGTCTCTGTTCAAAAAAGACTGTAGAGACGGAGTTACCCTTATGGAAAGAAATGGGAATCATTTGACACAGCCTATTTCGAGCATCTTTCCAGCTAAAAACACTGTGGGCTATTTAATAAAAACGAAGATTTTTTGATGACTAAGTAGGATCATTTAAAGGGAGATCTTTTTTTTTTACTTTCATTGATGGTAACCTGGATAAATTAAGACATGTTTAAAACTACAACATTTGTGAAATCGTTCGTTAACATTCGAGCTCGCATGTAAAAAAAAAAGAAAGCGACTCACTGTGGATAGATTACAATAAAAGAATAAAGGCTAACTAGTTTTCATATAGGCATCCATAGGAAACATGGAGTCATGTAGCCATGATCTGGTTTTGAAATCGAAATATAACAGCTTAAGGTTTTTTTGAGGACAACAGGATTTATCTCTTGGCAAAAAACGGAAATGTTACATTTAGGGGAACAAAACAAACCTACAACCCCAGCCATTTAGGCTCCATTTCACTATTTCTGATCAAAATACTATGCCAACTTTAATCCGATTTTAGTGAAACATTTGCAGAATCCTGTGTCATAATCTACAATTATTTAATTTTCAGTTGTCTTCATTTTATTTGGGTAGAAAACCACATGTCGAATTCAGTTTGAATGCCTTCCAACTACTAGACGAAACCGCTTTTGTTTTTCAAAAGGAAAAATCTAACTGAGAAAAGCGCGCTCTAAAAATCCACATTTGTACTGTAACTAGCCTATTCTCACCTTAATCCACACTTAATCCAGCCATATCCACGACTGCTGGATATTCTATTTTCCTTTTTTTGCTGTTGTTTAGAAACAATCCTAAAGTCAGTTGCAGTACAGATGCTGAAAACAATCATGTGGATGAATGTACAAGTCGCTATATGTTTAAAAAGAAAAGATGTAGAAAACACACCTCATATAATAGTGACTACAATTCATCAGGCTGAATGTAACTATCCGGCTGTAAAATATTCATGTGTGTCTTGTTATGAAGGATGAGTGCAGCTGCTAAAAACTGAACATCTGATAAATCTGCTTTTTTTTCTTCTTCTCCAAAATCCAATGCAATGTAGAAAAACAGCGTTTGAATATTACTCTATCTTTCAGCAGATTCGGTTGAACTCTACGCGTTTGAGCTGTTTCATTCTGTAAATAAAGACAATATCCTTTCTAATTCACATGTGGATGCGCAGAAAATATGCCGAGATACGCATATCAGGAGGAAATGTACGTTTCAATGTAAAACTCAAATTAATAAAAGTCTACAAATCATCAGCATCAAGCTAACGATTGTCTGTATTTATGTTTAAAGTTAAAAACACAACTAGCGAGCTAAATGTAAACTCTAATGTTCTAATTTCGTTTTGCTTTTATGGTTATACAGTCTCTCAATTCTTCAAATGCAAACGCGCAATGGAGACACTATCTTCCTCTGTCGCAGAATTGAGTTTTTACACAGGTTCCTTTTCCAGACAGTAAACTTTGCCTTCTTTATAATTTAACTGGGACTCTTTCTCTCGCTCTGTTTTCCCCTCTGTGTTTGTTTCCATTGTAAAATTTCATTTCTCCCCCACTGAAGTCCAGTTTATGTCCTTTTGTCCCATGCAGGCCCTCTGATGCTGACGCCTTGTCTCCCAGGACACCCTCCACAGGCAGATCCAGCATTGTGAGTCAGTCAGAGGGACTCCCATTGACCGTGGAGTTGGTCGGTTTTCCCCCCGCTTGGCCCCTGTGTGGTCCCGCTTGAGCCCTCATGTCGTCGCCGTCTCTGCAAGCCAACATCTCTGTCACCTGTGGATAAATCAACAGATGTGTCGCTTAATCAGGTTCCCATTTAATGATATTTTCTCCTGCTCGTTCACTTGTGCTGTTCTGATTGCTTCATGTTGCAGTGTGACGCTTTTCTAATCGACCCGCAAATCCAAGCTGGCTTCAGAGTGGCCAGTAACATGATAATGTGTTTTAAATGACTTTTCTGCATTCAAGTTCAAAAACACCTTTTTAAACACAACTTAATGTAGAAATACAGAGGACACAAATAACACAAGATTGCAGGGAAATTACTATTTTTCATTTTGATTCATTTTTCATTTTCAACATTTTGATTGAGTGTCACACACTTAATAATTAGTTAAGTCCATTCCTGCTCTGGTTGTGCGACTTTTGTTTCGTGTTCGCCTAACAAACCCTTAAGTTGAGTTAAACCTGCAGTTTGTGACCTTTCATTGCTTTCATCAGTGTGTGCATTAACAACTCATGGTTGACGCCTGTAGTCTTCCTTATTGTACAATCAGACTGTATCTGTTCGAC